ATCAGAGGATTGTGTGTTTCTTCTTATGCCAAGCATTGGGTTAAGGACAAACAATTACTCATCGAATACGCTTTAAGTAATATGACTGCCATTTCTATGCTTTTCCCACGTTAGACCGTACCCTGATTTGAACAATCAAGAATTGTCGAACGGGCGATTAATAAAGAATTGATAACTTCTTATTCAAATGAGTCACAGGCTTACTCTTAAAATATTTTCCAGACTTTCTCGCATATTATCAAGATTAGAGATAATAATTCCTTTTTTGTTGTGTTCAAATAGATTATTTTTAAAAATTACACTGCAAATGTTTTTCAAGTTATCAAAAGAAATGTTTTGCATTATTCCAAATAAAGAGTGTTCCAATAACTTGGACCGATTTTAAATATGAATTAACTTTAAGTGTTTAATGGTTTTTTTCTTTTTCTTTCAGATTTGGCGGACATTTGGACGATATTATTTTTCATACAGAGATATATTTAAGTGAACATTGAAGTCAACACTCAGAGGCAACGGGCTGTTTCATGCTAGACGCAATCATCAGGTCGGCCTGACGATTGCGTCTAGCATGAAACATCAATGTTCACCTTTATATTCATATTTACATACGCTCTATCTCTGATATTGAGCACTTTATCCCATAAATATATCACACCTTAAATGTATATTTCTTATATTATATATATATATATATATATATATATATATATATATATATATATATATATACACGAGGTGAGGCAGAGAGGACGGACGTTATTGAAAAATTCACATCAGTAATTTTAGCTTCAAAAAGTTTTTACTGAGACCGATATCCCGAGACGCATAGGAGAAAATAAAATTTTTTACCCTTCCCCACCCCATAACCATAGCCTTTCCACGTGCCTTAGTATATAATTTGGTGTGGTGGGGGGTCTATAAATGCTTACGTATTAATTGTTCGGATGAGCTCTTCGTTAAGGTACCTAGATTTTATGAATTTAAGTGCATTTGTAGACTGGCGAAGAAGTCACATCAGTTTACAGTTGACTATATGTAACCGTAAGTTCTCTGCTAACATTTCTCGCACTTCTAGCTCGTGGAACTCTTTTCCGGTTCCACGTTTCCCAGTTAACTTTGATCTTCAAAAGTTTAAATCCAATGTCAATCGCTATCTACTGCTCTCCTGATTACTCTTCTTTTGTTCCCTCTCCTTCCTGTTTTCTAATACTCACACCCAGCAGTCGCCTTATGTCTTAGTGGCTTTACTACCTTGCTTGCGGGGAACGCAATTTAAAAAAAAATATTGGTGTTTTACTTTTCTTGCAGGCAAGTAAATGGTGTTTATGGCAAAAGTTTTCCCAAAAGCTGTGGATAGATAGTGCCAGCTAATTTTGTTTTACGATAAAATTATTTACTCAAGCTAAATTGGTTGCTGATAAAGCGTATTTACTGAAGACTCCTCCCGAAAGAAATTTTTTTAATGCAAAACGAAGCCTCGTTGGTTTAGCGAAAAGCATAATCATTTGAACTGTACCACCTGCAACGCGATTACACTTGGCAAACGTCTTATTTCATCGACCAGACTATGTTAGCTTAGGCCTTGTCCAGTTTTACGTGGAATTCCGCCATATTTTATTGTTTGATTTGGTTTGGTTGGTTTTCACGAAGTATCAACTCTTTGGTTCATTTAACATCAAAAGAAAAAAAGCTTAATGAATATAATTTATTGAACACTTTTACATTAAGCACAAGCTGCTTCCCTTATTGCCCGTGTAATATCGTTGCGCCGATTAATAAAAATACGACGCTGAATGTCCCATACGTAACATTACATTTTATTTGTAAAACCGACGACAGAACGATCCTCTTCACTAACTCCACAGTTTTTGTTATGTTTCTTTTAACTGAGACAACAACCACAGTTTCTCGAAGAATGACGAGTTGTGATTTGTTACCAGTCGTAATCTCCTCTCGCTGTGTTGCAACTCGCCACGCCACGACCTTTCTTTGCTATGTTGTAACTGGTGATGTATTTACCTGTCGAATTGGATATCGGACAGGTCCGTGGTTATCATTTTAGCTGAAAACGAATTCAAATCATAATGTCGTTCTGACAATACCCACAGTATTTATTTTTTAAGAGTTGCTATACAGTTCTCTCTTCTATTTGCTTCTAGCTGGAGTGAACACAAGTCTTTAGACAAGGACTTCTTTCTTTTCAGTTATTTTACTATGAATTGTCCATCTCAATAATAGCAACTTCTTTTTCCTCTCCGTTTTTTTCTTTTGGGTCAGTTTCTTCCTTTTTAACTCAACTCCATTCTTCTGACTCCAGCGAAGAGTAACTTCGTATTTCTAACGGCTAGTGGACAAAACGGTCTTTAATGACTGAATGTGGCGGCTATCACCCAGTAATTGCGGATGTGAAACTTTCTTTTTATAAATGTTCGGACATCGGAATTGTCACGTAGGCCTTTTCTTCAAATAATGAAAATTATCTTGACACAAACCAGATGTTATCAGCTGGCTGGGGCTGCTAGTTGACACCATAAATATATTTATTTTCTGAAGTAGGTCGAGAGAGGGGTAACTGGAGGAACAGGAACATATTTGAATAATTTTTACTCGCACGGTCTTTCGAAAAGCCTGTCACGTACAGGTAACTTTAGATTAGGAATACGGGTTTCAATTCTTACGAATTCCAATCTCAACCGTAATCAAGATTTTTTTATACGTTCTAATGAAACGCTTGGCTTGGTTTCTTTTTTCATTATAGTTATCTGAATTTCATGCGTCCGCATAATCTTTTTCATTTATTTACTAAAACTACTGAGGGTCTTAGCAAAGGTCATCCTTCTTTGAGCATTGTGGACTGGCGCTACAGAATCACAAACAAAGAAATGTATCAAAAAACAGAAAGCACATCACTTGAGGACTGCCAACAGTAGTAACAATTAAAACGGATAGCACAAGTAACTCAAAGAGAAAATAATAACATGGTCAAGATGTTAACTTTCCACACCACATGAAATAGGAAAAAAATACACGCTTTGTAGACCTCAAAGCAGCAGTTGACCCATCAATAGAGACTTCTTCTTCTCATCTGTAGTTGTAAAGAAAAGAAAAACAAGAAAAAACTGTCAACTTATAGTAGCAACAAACGTCTGCAATAGATTTCTTCTGTCTCTCGACCGCAAGACTTGTAGCCAAATCACAGTTCAAATGATAGTCTGTTGTAACAGTCCAACAGGCAACATAGAAACGACAAAATGGGGTCACACATCCAATCTTCACTTCTCGCCAGCGGGTTTGTCCACCAAGGTCACAAAATCTAATCCCGCATAAGCGAAAAACAACTGCTTTTGTTCACCGAGAGATCTTTCTGATTGGTCACGCCATTCAGAGGAGGGAAGAACATTAGCACAGATTCTGGTCCTTAAAGTAGATTTTTGCTAACTACTTTTTGGTAATTTTTCTTCGGCAGATCGCACACAAAACACGAACTCTTTTTCGAGGTAGCTGATTATCTCTTTCACTACATCATCCAATAGAAGATAACGATCCAGTTTCCCCCCCGGAAGCCAACGTAATTAAGATGGTGGGTGGGGGATATGCTGATGACAGGTATTCATAGTTGGGATAACCCCCCCCCCAAACTTGAGCCATTTTCTTAAATGGCCTCGTCAGATCGAAACTATCATATGGATGTCATGTATAGCGCCAGACCTGTTCATATATATCTAACTTGTCAGCTGTATTCAAATGCGTCCTAAGATCAATGGTGAAAAAAGCTTTGAGAGAATGAAGCCTGAAGATCTTGACAAAGATAATCCTTTTTTGAGCATTGTGGACTGGGGCTACAGAGTCACAAACAAAGTACTGTACCAAATAACAGAAACTACATCACGAGGACTACCAACAGCAGCAACAACTAAAATGGATAGCAGATGTAATTCCAAGAGAAAATAATGACATAATCAAAATGTTAAACTTCCACACCACTTTAAATAGAAGGTTAGGAAGGAAAACCCTCATCAATACTGGAAAGAGAGAACAGGACTACTAGACTTGAGAGACCTGAAAAATTGTTTTAAGAGAAAGATTTGATGAATTTCAACCGAAACAGTACTGGCTGCTCGGTCAATGAATACCAAATGTTTCCTTGTAGGGAAAAGGCTAAAACTAACATGACCATTATTTCGTTCACTCCAGCCAAGAAATATTATTTCTCCACTACTAAAATCTTGGGCGAAGTGGTCACTTTGTCGTATATTCATCAATTACTGTCGGCCAAAGTGTGTATGTGCGGCTCGGGCCTTCTCTGAATGTGGACCGTCCCTGTCTGGTGGGTGTTTATATATCTGTCATTCGTCGGTTCTTTCACACGCGTGTATATCCCAGGTGCAGAATTACGTCTTCGCGTGCCGAAGAAGTCGTTGACATCGGGTGCATCCCGTATCTCCCGTTTTCAGCTAGGAGTTCACCCCTCAGGTCAACACTAAACCTAGTTTTTCTCGATGGTCTTCTACTATGTGTTGCGTCCATTCAGATCATACGCGATCATGGCTCTCTACAACTTTCTATACCGTGTGGCTCTTAGCATTTTTTCTCTCTTTCATCCATTCACTCATCACTTACTCGTCAGGTAAGTGACTTGCTACCTTCCCCTATTTCTCTTAATATGCCCCGTCAGGTTTAAGTTTTCCAAGCCCTCTTTTTTCATTATGTATCCAAGGAATGTCATCTGTTTTTTTTCAAATTCTGAATATGTGTTTTTTCTGTTGCCATTTTTAAAAATGTTGTTTAGTCGCCCCGTCCATGGAATTTTTAGTGTGTCTTTCTGTTGAACCACATTTCTGATGCTTCTAGTTTTCTCTTCATTCTTAGAGATATTGATATTCGCTGCCATATAAGATGATGGATATCACACAGCAATCCAGCTGAGTGCAGAGTCTACTCTGGCAACACCTGAGGTGAGCCACACACTCCACCTGAAAGTAAGTGTAAAGAATACTTACATACTCCCTTGTCCATAATCCTGGAACGCTAAACCGACTGGTATTCCAACTATTATCAAAGGAAGACCTGAAAATAAAAGTCAGTGGAATAATATATTGGAGTAATAGAAAAAAAATAATTCTACATAGAATATTAAAAACCAATATGGCGTAGGGAAAATCGGATTCCAAAGAATGAAACGCTAAGACTAATATTGAGTTTCAACTCCGGCTTGTTTACTATACTGACAACATCCAGTTCTTACTAATGACTGAGGCAGTTGGAAGTGCTCTTTTACGTGCTGTGCGTCATTATTCTCTCACAGATGAAGAAGAAACGTGATGGTTCTATGATAGGATGCTGAGAATACCGTGAACGTAATATGTGAACAACAGAGCCTTTTTAAGGACAATGGAAATAAAAAGAATGACAGAGAGAGCTGACATTTATTAGGCACATAATGAAGAGTGAATGTTTGGAGAATTTGAAACTCAGAAGACATATTATAGTCAAGAGGAGCAGAAGGAATCAGCGAGTCAGCTGCCTAACGAGTTTGTGTAAATGGATGACAGAACAGCGAGTGGGAGAGATAATAAAAAGACAAATATTACTAAGAGTTACAAAGGCTAGGAAGTTGTGGAGAGCCATGATCGCCTACATCCTGAAAGGATATGGAAAATAAAAGAAGAATAACTCCATTCAGGACATGAACAAACATGGTTCTCCACAACTTTCTATCTTGACTCCTTATTAGAACACATTTACACACAAGCTCATTAAGGCAGATTACATGTTGTTTCCGTTTTCCCTTATTGCCTTCAGTGTGTTCTGTGTGTGTCAAATTCTCCAAGCCCACTTTTCTCATTATGTGTCCCAGAAATTTCAATTGTCACTTTCTGATTCTAAGTGTCTTTTTGTTTTCAAATGAAAGGCACTGGAGCAATAGAAAAAAAGGTCATTCTAAAAAAAGTATTAAAAAAAAATATGACGTATGGAAAATCGAATTCTGGAAAATGAAGCGATGTTTCCAATTTTGAATTTCAACTCCTACCGAAATGAAAATACACAGTTCTTGATCGATTGAAATTACTTGTGTAAAACAGAACAAAACATGAATTTACATCATCGTATTGAAAAAATATGGAAAATAAAATTTAAACAGAGAGACATTGTCAGTTTAATTTAACAAAGTTTGGCTCAACAATTTTTTGTTGTCGAGATACACTTTATAAATTTAACTGTAATTTTTATATTTAACGGCTATCTGCATTTCAGTTTGATATCAGATTATTTTTTAATAATATTATTTCGACCTACCTAGCCTTATTAAGAAAAATGTTCTCGACATAAATCGAACATGTCGTCCGTTTAAAACAAGGCTCAAATATCCATTTAAGTCATGGATATATATAAGGATGGTGTAATGAATAGCGTCACAAAATGAGAAACCGAAGTACCGAGTTCGAATTTCAGTCGAGTCCGTTATATTTACTTATAGCATAAATACACTTGAGAAAGGTACTAACCTATCTCATCCACCAGCAATGTGTTAAATAGTAGGACTTGTATCTTGTAAAATAGTTGGAATTTTAAACGAAAATATTGTTGATGCAATATGCTCTTGGCAAAAAGAAGTATGCTTCACAACGTCAACAATTAAGTCAAGTTGTTAGAGTTGTTATTCGATTTTCACGCTGTCTCAAAAACGAAATATTTGCGATATTTGTCTAAATGTTCTTTTGTCCATTATTTTGGTGTGAAGAACCCGGCCCTAAATTTTAAAATTATTTTTGAAACACCCTGATTTATATATATATATATTCTTAAATGTCTATAATTGGTAACAGAAGCCATTGGTTTATACCAATTTTACTTCATGAGCTGCGGTGCGATTTTTTTGCGTCTTATATGCACGTGTTTATCGTTTTGAAATCATCCATGTAAACAGAAACAGACTATCATTTCGGTGTATTGCTTAATATATTGTACTGTAATTGTCATCTTTGATAATGGCTTATGTAAGCCGAATTTTATTTTCTTTCTTCGTTTAATGATAATGTTATTGCTTAAGATGTTATGAAAAGAAACATAAAATAGACAAAACTTGTCTATATTATTTAATTGAATATATATAACAATTAGAACATATTTTTCGTTCCGACTTTATAAGTTTAAAAGTGAAATGTTTTTAGTTACATCAGATTCAAAATATTAAAAAAAGCGATATTGTGTCCATTCTGGATATTGGTACTTTTTTTTTTTTTACTAAGAATGTGTTTTAGTTTTTTAAATTTCTTTTTGAAGATAGAATAAATTGGAAAAAAAGTAAATTAGAAAACATTTCTTGGTGATTGCCGAAGCGTTCCATTCTTTTTTACACAGAGCGTTTTGTAACTACAAAACATTTCTTCTTTAAACTTGCTTTGATAAGTGGGATTGACGAAACACGTCGGAAATGAGTAAAAATGCTGTTATTTTCCACCGTTTTATTTATCCATTAATTTGTCTTATCTTCAGAATTATTCTGATAAATTTAGCCACACACACATATATATATATATATATTGTGTTATTTAGGTCCGGTAAGGTTTCATGCACATTTCATTGAATAAATAAGATCTTTGATTTAGTTTTTTATAGAATTTCTGATGTCATCTAATAATTTTTATTTTCAGATGATGAATTATATAAAAACTGCCCGAATGTTATTTTTACCGGAGCGATTTCGGCTATACATTTAGCCATTTTCAAGGTTGAAATATTTTAACTGTTAATTAAGAAATAATTTGTTGCATATATGTATTTATATAATGTTTTCATTTTCAAAATACGGTCAACATATTGTGTCCATGTTCATAGTTGATATTATTGAGTGTTTTTTGTTTTTTATTAATAAGGCTTCCATTATTTTTAGACTTTTGCATGTAGACGATGCTGTTATATTTGTGTTATCAACAAATATGTTACGAATAGGGTCCGGTAGGTTTCCATGAATATTTAAATAAGATCTAATTGGGCTATAGTCAGAAATGTGTAGAGTGAGTCTTCGTTTCAAGCATGTAGTATATATATATATATATATATATATATACAAAATGTTAGCGTAACCAACAAACAATATATATATATATATATATATGGGATAACGATATATAAATTTTTATATATCAAGAACAATTTTAGGGGAAAGATGTATGACAAAGTGGAAAAAGTTTTCTTGTGACGCATTTCGTCCTTTAGGGCATAATCGGACTAAATCTATGTTTACGTTGACGCGACTACGCATGCGCACGAAAATTCCCAACGTCGCTCGCTCGTGCGCATGTTTAGTCGCATCAACGTAAGCATAAACACACACACACACACACACACACACACACACACACACACACACACACACACACATATATATATATTCACGTCACGTGTTTATGGTAATATCAACGTTATCCTCGTTTTGTTTCCTTCTTATCTAAAAAAAAACTGTCAGCTTATTTTGCCATTAAGCTCTATCATTTTCAAACAAAGAAAGTTATTATTAATCCTAGCGGTATCCATATATATCTCGTTTTCTCTCTCTCCGTCCCATTCTCTCTCTTCCTTCCTTTCTCTCTCTCTCTCTCTCTCTCTTTCCATCTCTTTCGCTACCTCTCTCTCCCACTCTTTCTCTCATCCTCTCTCTCTATATATCCCTCTCTTTCGTTACCTCTCTCTATCCCCACTTTTTCTCTCTCTTCCTCCCTTTCTTTCTATGCTTCTCTTTTTCTACCCCTCTCTCTCTCTTCCACTCTATCTCTCTCTTCCTCTCTTTCTCTATCCTTATTTCAGTCACCCTTTCATTTTTTCCTCACACGCTCCCACATACACTCTTGGTTTCTCTTGACTTAAATATTTACTTAATGTCGATCTATAGGAAAGGAACAGGTAGGTTTTTTGCGCCAATCATGCAAAGCAAAGAGGGCACGACTGCCTTGAGTATCGGTCTCATAAACATGGACTAAAAACCAAGTTTCATATGACTAACTTTGACTGAGTCTGTCACAGGGTTGAATGATTGACAAAAGATTGTGTTACGTCAAGCATTCTAGTGGGAGACGTGCTTGCTTTGATAATGGTTAATATGTCCGGACTTAAATGATGACCGCAGAGGTCAATGGGAATCATGCAACTTTCTCACTACCAAAGAATCCACGCCTTATACAGCGGGCCACCCATGGTTATAGCAATTTTAGCTTATGCAATGAAGTCTCTTCTTTTTTTCAGACAATAGCTTGTTAGTATCAAGTTACTTTAATCTATGAACGATAGTTGACTTATATTTTGCAATGAAAGTTCGCGAAATAAGGAAAATGGCGAATTTCAACGAGGGCAAATAATAGGTTGTTGCAAGTCAAATAGAGAAATTACTAGGTTTTTCCAGGTTAATCATCAAACAGTTAATAATATTGTCAATAAATTTCATGAAGAAATGGCCATTGTTTTGTGGAACAACGTTCAGCAAGTCCAAGCATCGTATCTGATCGAACAAAAAGGGCGTTGAAGAAGAAAGTCATCAGAAACTGTCCTCAGAGCGTCAAAGATGTCACCAACAGCATGGAAATGTCGCCATATGAAAGACTGAAAGAGCTAGGCTATCAAAGAAGAGTTGCAAGAAAGAAGCCCCTGATTTCAGAGGTTAACAGGAACATGCGTATGGACTGGACGAGAAAATTCGAGAGCAAAGATTATGAATTTTGGCAATTTTTAATTTGGTCAGATGAAAGTAATTTCTACAAATATTCGAATTAGGGACAGGTTTATGTTTGGAGAAATCAGAATGAGATTTGGAATACTGAATGTCTGCAGGCAACCTTGGAGGGATTGGAGTAATGGTGTGAGGTGCTGTCTGGTTTGGAGGGAAATCTGAGCTGATTCTTGTTGAATGGTCCAAAATACTGTCAAATATTATAGAAAGTACTACTCCTATTATTAGAAACCAATCAGATTGACAAAAATATCTACCATTTTCAAGAAGTTGGGACGCCGTTCCATACCAGCAAAGTAGCAAAGGCCTGGAAGGAATCGCAAGGAATCGCAAGGAATCAAGT